GACCATCTTGGTCCATCAGATGAAAGGCATTGAGAGATGTAATGCCATGAAGGATGTGTACACCAAATACGAAAAGGGATTTCCAATGCTCAGTATCATTCGGAATTCAACAGCCAATGGTCTGGTCACAAAGAGGGAGATTATTCCAAAATGCTGGGAGAAAGAACAGATCTGGAATCAAACATTGCAGTGTACCTACAAGAACTGGTTCTATGAAGCATGGGGTTTTAAAGAAGGGAAGTGGCATGAATATTATGGGCCCGTAGATAATACAGAGAATATGGAATAGAAAATTTATATTTTTTTAACATTTATTATAAAACGCACCTATGATGGTTTTGCATCTATTATAAGTTTTTATATATTTTTCTAAGTCTATAAGTTTTTTATATAAAATTTTTAGCACAAATTCTTCATGTTATGGTTATGGTTAGTATTTAATGCCATAATTAAGGTTTAGGAGACGGTTTGAGGGACGTAGAGTATTTTTACTTAGAGTATCGCATATTAAGGACAGAATTTAATGTAGGTAGTTTTATGGCAAATATTATTATTTGTTACTACACGCTAGCCACCATGTCCATCATAAATTATAGTAAAAGGTTTGTTACAAATTTTATAAATTATAATGGTGATTCTAAGTATGTGTTTAAAGTTGAGATAGTTGTGTTGGAATTACAGTCGTAAATTCTATTAAAATTATTATAAATTATTTTTGTTATGAAACATGCTGTCATTATGCACGGTGTGAAAGCCTCTGGTATACTTTACAGAAACCTATATATTTTGATAAATATATTTACAGTATAGATTGTTAAAATATTAATATTCTATTAACTTACAACTAACTTTTAATAGCTCGTTATTAGCTAATAAAAATTTTTAAAAAATAACGTTATAAAATTAATTATAAATATTTATAAATTAATGTTATAATCAAAATTAAAAATAGACAAATTATATATAAAATTGGTCAAAGAATATTTTTAACTAATAAACTAAAAATAGATTCATAGTAAAAATTTATAGTTATCAATGATTTTTAAAAAACTTTGATTATTTTAATTTTTCTTATATATAACATAATCTTATATCTAATTGATAAATTGGATTAATAATAAATATTATATATAACAATAAATAAATTTATTATTATTATTATTTATGATAATATTTTAAATATTTATTTTTCTAAAAAAAATATATTTATTATATATCTTGTATATTTTAATTATGTTATAATAATTACCAAAACTACTACTAAACTTCTTAGAAATTTACCCCTACATCTCACAGAGTGGTCATAGATCTTATTCAATCCCATCCCACATTCAGCTTTCCTTTGCACTTCCCATTCCCACCACACCCACTGTTGACCTCACTAAAGGACTGATCTCCTCCCACTTACTGCAGACACTATTAACACTTGATATACAATACAAAGAAGCATCTGACATCATTACTCAAACCTTAATACTTATTTCTTCTGAGATATATAAACAAATATAGAAGCCTGTAGAACCCAGGCGGAATACTTAAATTAGATACCCAAAAGGTGTACGTGTGGCTAGTTGTATCCTCGTGAATCTGATGTAATATCGTAACTATCTGAAATAAAGCTCATGCCAATGGCCTAAGTGGTCACCTTTAATATTAAAAAAAAAAAAAAAAACAAATATAGAAGCCATATTGTGACAGATTTGCAAAGTAGAAAAAACAAAACAACATATCTATACACAATCAACCCTTAATACCAAAACAGATTCACCATCAAACACAGCAATAGCAGCAAAAATTTACCTATAACTGTCTTTGTGACATGTCAGACCAACTTCATACTGAAGGTAACAATATTTGTTCTCTAAGAGAGCAGGCCAAATAGAAGTTCAATCAGTGGTCCAAAGTATGAATTCAATACAGTATACCCACAAACTACATATTAACTATTAAAACCTAGGTGAGTTTTGATCACTCTAGTAGGTTTATGTTGCAGATAACTAGTTTGAGTTTCTGGTTAACTCTAGACCAATCTTTTAGTCCGAGCTCTCATTCTTATATGTACTTTATTTTTATTTGTCTTGTACAAATTGGGTAGTTATTATAATTACCTAAATAAATTGTCAAAAAAGATATAGGCAAGGCCTTACCTTAATACAAAAAAAAAATTATATTATAATAATATTAAACTATATATTTAAAATATTTTTAATATATTTTAGCAATATAGTTGTATGAAAGTTAATAGAATTATAAAAATATTTTTAAGATATTTTTAAGATATTTTTAATATATTTAATAATATCTTTAATATATTTTTAAAAAATAATATTATAAATATATAATTATTGTATAAGGTTTCTACAAAGTATATCATATAGATATAATAGTTTAAATAGATTATAAATATATTTTAAACATAAATTTAATATATTTTTACTATATTTTTATAATCTTTTCAAAATAATTTTATAATAATTTTGTGATAATTTTATATTAATTTTATAATATATGTAGATTATATTTTATTTTTATTATATTTTTATATATTTTAAACATATTTTAATTATATTTTAGTAATTTAGTTATAAGTGATTTAGCAAAATTTTAAATATATTTTAATATATTTTTAATATATATTTAATATATTTTTATAATAAAGGTTTTGTAAAACTCTTCCCATAGATCACTCTTACCACAACAGGAACAAAAGAAAAAACTTTCCCGCAGAATTATCTTAAAATTTTATTAAGTAAACTAATACTCGGCTCTTAAGTAAAGTTACTCAGCACCTACAAAAGAACATAAAAGAAGTGCCCTTTGTTTAAAAAGTTCTCTCTCTGACAAATAAATAACAATAAACACTCCAAAGAACAAAAAACCAGTTTTCTCATCCTCCCGTGAAAGTGGTCCTAAGGACCACCAACATTTAAACACATCACCGCAAAGTACTAACAGCTCGCTATACCAAAACAACAAAAAACTTCAAACAACTCCCATTACCAAGACTCAACTTGCCCCTAAAAATATGACCTCAGAAAGC